GGGAAAGGTGCAGATAGGCACCGTGTGTGCCAGCAACGCCTAAGCCAGGCAGGAATCTGTCGCTCACTGTAAATCCACCCAGCAGAGCCTCCCTCTTTTGAAATGGGATATTCTGGCACTGGAAACACCATCCTTGGACTTCCAGGAGGGAGCAGGAGCCCGGGCTCTGCATCCTGCAGCTCCTCAGTGCTTCAGGATATTAAATGCAGCATTTTGGCCCTGCTGCTTCCACCTTCCTAGATTAAAAAACCTCTCAAAGAGCCCAACACGGAGGTGATTTAGGTTTATTTTGCTTACTTAATAACCCTGTGGCACGTCCTTCCCTGGGGCATTAGGGTGTATCAGACAAGTCATTGAAATTACAGCCGTGCCTGATATTTATTCTTTAATATATTTTTATGGGAGCCTTCCCCATTTATAGCAATCCAACAGAAAGCCAGACCATGCCAAGGAGCTGTAATCACTGCCTAATAATGCTCAGGGTGAATGGCTGGGGATGCTGACCCCGGGAAGCTGGAGCAGGGGCTCTTCAGAGCCGCGCTGGAGTGGTCACGTTCCAACCTGGCCACTGTGTCCTGCTCCAGCCTGAACACTGGGGACCCAAGGGGGGGAATGGGACCCCTTGAGCTGCTTCTGCTCCTCGGGGGCCCTCAGGCTCAATTGAGCCTCAGTTCATGTTTGAGGGTGAGGCTGTGTAGAGCATCGGCGTTGTATTTGTGCAGCAGCATCTCTCTGGTGCCTGATGAGTATCTGCCCGATGAGAAGGGGTGTCCGGCAGGATGCTGTTGTTAAAACCACCCAATCCCAATGCTTGTAACGGTGTCACTCTGCAGACAGGCAGATCCAGGAGCTGTGCAGTACCAGCCCCCTCGGGTTCACCCACTGGAGCCCTGGATCTGCCCCAAAGACAAGTTCTCTGCAGAGAGAAATGCACCTTTTCCACTCTTTCTGTGCCCGTGTGTAGTTTGGATGTGGTTTATCCAACTTCCATGCACAGGCTGACAGCAGGTGAGCCAAATAGCACCAGGAATGGTGGAAATCCATGAGAGTTGAAGGGAATTAAAGTCCTGGGCTCGGACTATGGGTAATTTGGGGTTTGCAGCTGGGCAGTGGCACGTATCTGGCTCGGCAGGACACGGTGCTGGACCGCGCATCCCTGGAGCCTGGGTCAATCTCCTGCTATTAATCATTTGCACACATGGAAAGCAAAGTGTCCAGGCCATTAGGAGTTAGGCTGGACGCACGGGATATCTGTTCCGGTGGGATGCTGGGAGCATCCCTGCCTCCGGTCCAGGGCTGCATCTCCAGCTGAGCCAGGGGAGTGAAACTGGCTCTGAGCAGGAGCTGAGAGCCCTGAGTCATCCCCAGGATCCAGGAACCAGGGCTATGGGGAAGCACCAGCAGGCTGAGGATAACATCTGGGATTGGGAAAGCTGGTCTGGTTCCAGTGGGAAGGGGAGGTTTCTCTGGATGGGGCTTTTCTTCCATCCACTCCTTCCATGTCTTTCTCTGTCATTTTCTATTTCTACTGATTCCTTTCTGATGGGAAGAACACAGCCATTCAGAGGCATCAGATTGGCATAACGGGATGCGACACTCATAATAAACCCAGGATTTGCATGGAAGGGGCTGACAATTTCCTTTGGGCTTGACGGTGATTGGAAAAGCAAGGGAGACCCTGGCAGGGAGAGGGTCGGAGCAGGATGGTTCAGGTCCATCCCATGCCCCAGCACAGGGATCAGCATGGAAGCGAGCTCACATGTGAAAGGCAGCTGGAAACCCTGGGAAACGCTGGAGTTTGGGAGTGCTGGGAGCCGGCCGGGCCCTACCCTGCTCTCTCCATGCAGAAATAATTGGAGGGAGAGTTTCTCTTGGACCAGGTTTTCCCTCCCATGCTCTCTGTCGGGAAGCAGGATGAGCCTGAATGTTCCGGGGAGCTGGGGTAGGAGCAGTGCTGGTTTGGGTGGAAAGGAGGCAGACACACAGTGTGCCCATTGCCCTGCGAGGACGTGGTTGAACAGATCCGTATCCAGCTGTGACAGGCATCTGACTCCTTTGCTGCGCGTTCCAGGCTGTGTTCCGCTTGCAGGAGGCTGGATTGCCATCCCGGCAGCTCTGCCCTTCCCGGGATGCTCCTGAGAACCAATTCATAAACGCTGGCCTCATTAGAAAGATCACAGAGAGAGGGAAAAGCAAATCTGGGCTCCTGCCTGCGCCGGCTTTGAAGCTGCCTCCCCCCCTGTCAAGCCTGCGTGCCGCAAGCGAGCAGCGCAGGAGGAGCCCTGCTTGTTTGGGGTTTAACTTCCCCACTTGGCTAATTGCTGGTTAATCACATCAGCACCTCGCCTGCTCCCCGTGGGACGCAGCTCCCAGCGCCCCGGTGCCTCCCATGGGGTCCCCGGGGTGCGCGGGTCCCGGCTGGGGCGTGCTCCCAGGCAGGCAGCAGCAGCCCAGCCCCGCTCTGCTGCTGGGTCCCATCCGTCATCTGTTTGTCCTGGTCCCCTGCCAGGGATTGTGCCGATTCCCACACCCACTTTCCATAACCCTCCGTCCTCGCCCGGGCGCATCGCTGGCGCTCTCGCCACCCAGCCCTTTCCCCTCCTCTCCGATGGGATCAGACACGTTCTGGAGAGGGGGAAGAAAGGAAAGGAGGGGAAAGGGGAAAAAAAAAGGAAGATCAAGAGGCGAACAGAAAGTGACTCATTGCTTTCTTCATTTACTTCTATTTATTTATTCCCTCCCCTCCGCGCTGCGACGTGCTGGCCGCAGAGAGCTGCGGTGTCCAGCTTGGCAAAGAGGTGTTGGGAATGGGGTGGGAATCGTTTCCCTTCCCTCTTTTAGCCGGGGGGGAAGAGCGCAGAGAGGAGCTCCTGGCACAGAAACTGTGTGGCACGGACTTTCAAGGTTGTCCAGGTCTCCGCGTGAGCATCCCGCCCGCATCCCGCGCCCCACCAGCACAGCATGGACCGGAGGGTGGAAATATCTAATTCCACCTCCTACACTGTGTCCTCGGCAGGGGAAAGAGAAAGAGAAGATAAAAGGCTGGGAAGCCCAAATGGTGTCATTAGGAACTATTAATGCTCTCATAAAAGGGCATTAATAAACACGGCAGCTCATCAGCGTCCATTAGCTCCGCTCCTGGCAGGGATCTTCGGGATGAGATGCTCCCGTCGCCCTCGCTGGCGTTTCAGCACAGGGGCAAGGGGCTGGAGCGGGGGGTTTATTCCTCGCTGCTGGCAGGAACCAGCCGCAGATCCCTCTCATACTGGCGTGGCATCCCGAAGGAGCAAGCGGGGCTTCACGCCCGTCCTGCAGCCGGCAGCTGGTGCCCAGTGCGTGCAGCGCTCTCCTCCACAGGAGCTGTTTACTACTAAACAAAACGAGGCAGGCTTTAAAGTGCTCATCCCCAACTTTCTCCCTCCCGCCCTCTTCCTGTTCTCGTCTCCTAAAAGGAGCTTTATCCTTTGACTCTCCCATGCCCGCGGCAAGCCAGAACCCACTGCGTCTCGGGGCGAGCAGGCAGCCCACATCAGCAGGCAGGAGAAGAGGGAGGAGGCCCGGCCTCTCCCGATAAGCCCATGGCAAAGCCAGGAATAGCAGCGAGGTCCCCGCTCGGGAGCAGCCCTACCAGGAGCAGGGAAAAGCCTCAGTGTCTGCCTTTGAAGAGCAGGGGGCTGGCAGCCGGCCCGGCCGCACGGGGAGCTTGGGGCGTGCTGCGAGCTTCCCCTGCCAGCCCCGACCAGCACAGCTGGGTAGAGCGCAGCGCAGCGCAGCTGGGTAGAGCAGATGTGCACATCTGGATGGAGGAGGGATGCGCAGCGGCTGGGCAGAGCGGGCTGGCACGGGTGGATAGGCTGGTGAATGCGTCTGAATGGAGCGGGCACGCACATCTGGGCAGGTTGTGCTGGCACATCTGGGCAGACTAAGCAGGGAGAGAGCAGCCCCATGGCCTCACGTCCCCCCCCGGTACACCCCGGGGTGCTTCTCCTTTGGCTTTTCCTCCTCCTGTGAACCAAAGCACCCAAACCTGCCAAGTCACTGCCCTAACTCTTAGTCACTGTCTCCCCCCCCTTGGGATATTCTTGGCTCTGGCTGCCAAGGTGGCGAGCCAGCCATGGGGAGCCGATATCCAAGGACCACGAGCGGGTGCTCGGCTTCCCGCTGGCCTCAGGCCGCTCGCAGGAGGCTGTCACCATTGGTGACTCCGTGCAGAGCAGGTTTCCTGTTGGGGAAAGCAGAGCTTTGATCCCGAAGATCCCAAACCAGGCTCCCCGCGTGCCCTTTTGCTTCCAGTTATCTGCTGCATCTCCCTTTTCTTTTTCGGGGTAAGAAGTCCCAGGGCAGGTTGGGACGGAGGAGCCCTGGCAGGGCGCGTGCGTGGGCAGGACTGGAATAACGGGTGCCGTAGGAAAGGATTTGGGAGCGCTGGGGGGGGGCAGCTGGGAATAGCACAGCAGGTCAGGGGTGAGGTGGCTTGTGCAGGGATGGATGTGGCCAGAGGCCTTGCCGCTGCCTCCTTGCCATTAATCGCATTCCAGTGGGATGCTCGGTGGTCTCGCAAAGCCACCCTCCTGCAGGGAAGGATCCCAGGGCAGGGATGGGGATCCAAGCGCACCGGGTGATGGGGAGCCAGGCAGGAGTTTTGGTTGAGAGCAAAAGCACCGCAGTGGGGCAAAGCTTTGCCATGGGGATGCTGGTGCAAATCACCACCACCCTCCGCTGGCAGCCCCTTCCCACCCGGCATCATTCACCCTTCCCAACACCAGGGTGAGCCGTGCCAGGACACCATGCAGGGAGCCTCTACATCCCAAACGGCCACAGGCCCCCGTGTGCTCCTTCCCAGGAGAGGATCGGTCCCCAGTGACCCCTGCAGGGAAAACAACCAAGATGTTGGAAGCCAAATCCCTGGGAGGGGTGTGTGGGGTGTGTGTGTCCATCCCTCCGTGTCCTTCTCCTGGGGGGCCCTGTAGCATCTCCCCCCTTTCTCCTTGTCCTTTCAGGGTGCGAATCTGAGGACTGGGGACGTCAAAGGGCACGTGCTGACGGGTGAGTGCAGACCCCAACCCGGGGACGGGGTCTGCTGCTGGGAGCTGGGATGAGGCGGTGGCAGAGCTGGCCTGGACAGGACATGGAGGGGGACACGAGGGGCTCCCATGGGGCGCAGCTGGGCACTGTCTGGAATAGGAGCTGCTTTTTCTCTTCTCTTGCTCGAGGCAGAAGTGGTTTAGGAGCTCCCCGGTGCTTGGAAGGGCTCCAAAGAGAGTGGGGGGACACAAACAAAAAGAGAAACACGAGATAAAAGCGGGTGAATCCCAACAACTTCTGTGATGTTGCACAAACAAAGACTTTGAGTTCAAAACAAGGCAGACACAGCTCATGGAGCTTACATCCCGAGGGATTGAGGCTGGGAGTGACCGATGCTGGAGGGCTTCAGCTGCTTGTCCCTTGGCACTGTGTCCTCCCATCCTCAATGCAGGGCAAGGGGCTGCCCCGGAGGGGGTCTGTTAATGGGAGATCTTTAAAGTTAAACCCCATCCCTGGCAGTGCTCAAGGCCAGGTTGGACACAGGGGCTTGGAGCAAGCTGCTCCAGTGGAAGGGGTCCATGGCCATGGCAGGGGCTGGAGCTGGAGGAGCTTTAAGCTCCCTTCCAATGCACACCAGTCTGGGATTCCATGATGCCGTGACCTGGGAGCTGTGTGCTGCTCGCTCCTGCTTCAGCTGGCTGAGAGCTGGGGACGTGCCCACCTGCACGCGAGGTCTGCAGTGAGGGGGGGCATCAACCCCAAACTGCCAGCACCTGAGAACCGCTGCTCCCACCACAGGAGCATCAAGGGAGGACTTCAAACCCCGGCAGCTGGAGCTCGGCCAGGCCCCCAGCTCCTGTGGGGCAGCAGCAGGGTGAGGGCTGCTGGCCACACTCTAGCAGGGTGCTGGGGGTCTCGAGCTTGTGCCCCAGGAGATCCCTGCAACCCAGGGGAGGATGCGCCCAGCACGGTGAGGATGAGGAGGGGATGGCAGGGATGGGAAGGGTGATGGAGGAGAGGTCAAGGTGCTCAGCACAGGGGTGAGGAGCACCCTGGGGCTCTCAGGTTGAAAGAGGAGGCGAGGCGGTGGCTGGCACGGTGGGAGGTTGGAGGTGGGTTAGTTCAGGAAGGGGAAAACAGGAGCAGAGGGGGGATGCAGGCAGTGACAAGGGAAGGGGGTTTCTGGCTGCTCCTGCCCATCAAACGCCCAAGCTGCCCAGTGTTTCCTCCCTCCTGGTGCTGGTGGGAGAACTGATCCCAGGCTGCAGGGCCAGGGTGCACGCGTGGTTGCGGTGTGGAGAGGGATGCTCAGCCGTTATCTTCTGCACCCCCAGATTACGTCCGTCCCACGCCGCCGCCCCGCAGCGGGTACCACCGCTACCAGCTCCTCCTGCACGAGCAGCCAGCGCACGAGGCCATCGCCCTGAGCCCCGAGGAGCGCGTCTCACTGGGTAAGGAGCAGCCGTGCCCTCGCCCTGGTCCTGCACCATGTCCTGAAGGGGCTTTTCCAGGGGGAACGGGCAATGCCACGTGTTAGAGCATTCCCAAAGCGCGATGCTGGGGATGCTCATGTGATGCAAAGGGGTTTCAAATCCTTACATGGGACGTGGCTGGGGTGTTAAGTCCTTGGCATCAAGTGCTGGTAACGGCCTGGCTAGCGGGATCGGGAGCAAGGAGAGATCTCGTGGGCTGTGGATTCCATCCAGTCCTTGCTGGAACCTCTTCCCCCCTGCGCCTCGGGAGTTTCATCACCTCGGAGGGCACAGATAAGGATCAGACATGGAGATGGTTTAGCAAGGGATTGCTCAAACCCAGCTGACACAACGAGCACCAACTCCCAGCTCCCTCCACCCCTGAGCTGCTGCCTCCCTCAGTGTGCATGGCAAGGATGGAGGCAAGAAGCTGAGTCCACCCAGGACATGATGGGACCATCCCTGCTGCTCCATCCCGGATGGTCGCACCCTGCAGGACCCTCGGCATGGACAAGGCCCATGCAAAGGTGTATTCCTGGTGCATTCCTGGGCAGGTCGGTGCATCCTGTCTGTGCTCATCCAGGAACACCCCAGATCCCAGCCGGCACAGGGCTGTGATGCTCGTCCTGTGGCCAGGCTGGGCTGCAGCTGCTGCTGCGAGTCTCTCTGTGGGTTATCTCTGCTCTTCAGTTGCTTTCTGGCTCATTAGCTCTGCTTCTTAATGACATCCATGGAAGCCACCCCCCTGCCAGAGGAGCGGGTCATGTCCCTGTCCCCTTGTCCCTGGAGAGGTCAGAGGATGGGGCTCCACTGCTGTCACCCAGGGCTATGCACCCGCATCCCCATCGCAGCATGGGATGCAGCATGGGACACCCACCATAAACCCTCGTATTAACAGGATGTGCAGCTCCAGCTCCCCACATCTCATACCCAAAGGGGCTCAGCCACCAGATCCATGTGGAAGATCTCTGTCCCTGCTCTGTGCCCCACGTTGTCTCCATCCTATCCTGAAGTTTCCCAGCCCTTCCCAAGCTCCCTGGGAAAGACCGGTTAAAACAGCAGCGGATGTTTTCTCCTGAGCATCATCGTTTCAGTGGAGGCTGTTATTTAAGTAGTTGGTTGAAGGCTGTTTTTAACCATTTCACTGCTGCATCACAGGCCTGGCCTGGCCAGTGAATGTTCCCTTTAACTCCCAGGGCACAAGCCCTGAAAGCAGCCGCAGGATGGGATTTTGGTGTCTCGAGGGTTTGAATGAATCCATCCTCAAGGACCACGCTGGGACAAACACCATTGAGCCACTGGCACATCCAGGCCCCGTGGGACGAAGGAGGAAGGAGGAAATGCCTTGGTAGCACATGAAAACACGGGGGATGCTGACTGTGAGCCCAACAGACCACGGGTGAGGAGCTCATCCAGCTCCTCCTCAGCTCTGCCCCGGTCCTGTCCTCCTGCGGTACAAGAGATGCATCCGGCATCCCTGTGCTGCGCATTGCCAGCTCCGTGCCATGCATCCATCCCTCGGGCTGCTTCCCCCCTGCCTGGGGACACCACGGGGCTCCGTGAGGGTGTTTGTGCCAGCGCTCAGCTCACAGAGAAGCTCCCTCCTGGCCCCTCCAGGGTGAAGCAGGAGCGGGGCCGGGACCAGCGGGGCCGGAGCAGGGCCCGCGGTGCGGGCCGGGCGGGAGGGCAGGAGCTCAGCAGCGGAGCCAAGAGGCCGGAGCCTCCAGAAGAGGGCACTAAACCCGGAGCTGCCCGTGCGAGCCCTCTCCTGCTCCTCGGGAAGGTCTCTGGGGAACGAGAGGCGAGAGGCGACGGCCGGCACGGAAACGAATCCGTGCTTCTGCTTCGCAGCGCCGGCAGCTCGCAGGGAGGGAGGACGGCTCCGTGCTGGCCCCGGTGCCCTCCCTGCCGTGGGGATCGCACCATCGGGTGCTGCGCCCAGGGGTCACCCACCAAGGGACAGGGGTGAAACGGGTGCTCGCAGCACAGGTTTCTGCAGGGCGTCCCTTGAGCAGAGGGACTTGTTTCATCGGGAAGAATCCGAACGTCTGCTCCTTCTCCTGATCAATCCCTGCACCTGCAGCCTCCCTCCCTGGGGCCTCAGGCAGAAAACCCTCTTGGAGCCTCAGTTTCTCCACCGCTGCCTGATTCACTCCATGCTCTGGCTGTGTCACTGGGCACCCGCTCCGTGCCCCCCTGGCACCCACAGTGAAGAGCCATGGGGTGTCCCCGCAGCTGTGGGGCGCTGGTGGCGATGCAGAGCGAGGGTCACCAGGGTGCAGGATGAGGGCTCGCGGTCTGCGGGATGTCAGAGGCACCCGCGCATCCCCAGGCACCGCGCAGGGAAACCCCGGCCATGGGGGTGTCGGACCCATGGGAGGCTGCTCCTTGGCCACCTCCTGCCTTTCCCTTGTGGGTTCTGTAATTAGCACGAGCTCAGGAGGGTTAATTGCACGCGATGAGCGGTTCTGCTCCTCCCTCTCTGCTGTGTCCCAGCGCTGGATGCCCACCAGCCCTGGGAACACGTGGAGATGCTCCCCAGCATCCCCAAACCTCCTCCTGGCCCGGAAAGGTGTTTTACAGCTGGGAATGGGCTTTTGCCTCCCGGAGATGTTGGGAAGCTGAGAGTCCTTTGGGCACCAGGCGCTGGGGATGAGCCCGGCCTGTGGCCCTTCCCACGGCTCCATCCCTCTCCATCACATCGGGGCTGCAGCATTGACTCATGAGCAGACCTTGTGCACCTCCGATCCACCCAGCTGGAAAATCGGGTTGGACTGGGCCCCATGGGGAGGGAAAGGCTGAGGCTGGGATGGGAGGAAGCGAAGGGCTGCGGGGAGCACCCGCTCCCAGCCCCAGTCCCTGGGTGTCAGTTAATGGTGAGCAAGCAGCCGGTGGCCTCCCGCCTACCTCCGCTGGGACATCATTAATCTCTGCAGGAAAGCATCAGGGCTGCTCTCAGCCCCGCTGATGAGGCTGATAAATTACGGCTGGCAACGCTGTGGGTGCCTGAGGAGGGGGGGCCTGCTCGTTCTGGGGGGTGAAACAGCCCCATGCACCCATTGCCTGCGAGGCCAGAGGGTCCCTGAGCTCCACAAGCCCCGCAGCAACCTCGTGCCTCAGTTTCCCCATGTGATGCTCAAGGATCGGGGTGTCAGTGGGTGCTCCTCTTCCTCCAGCGGGTGCTCACATAGAGCCAAGCACGATGATAAAATCAACTGAGAAATGAGCTCGAAAACGGACCCAAGCCACGGATGCAACGTCGTTTTGATGGGAATGGTGACACCGAGAGCTCCGTGGTCCCGGTGACTCAGTCCCCAGTGCTGTGGCTGGCTGGCAGAGGGATGTCTCCCTGTGCCAGGGACGCAGGGTGCAGGCAGGTTGGGACACCCGGTTTGAGGATGCACCCAAGGCACTGGATTTGGCGTGGGGTCCCCCAGGGCTGCGTCACCCGGGGCTTCCCCTGGGGCCAGGCCCTGCACCCCCGGAGCGCTGGCAGGTACCAAAGTAGGTCAGGAAAAACCCCGGCCCCGCACGCAGCCCTGCGGCAGCTCTGCCTCCCCCTTTCATCCACAGCCCCCCCGAGGCCTCACCAACACCAGGGACAGCCCCGCGGAGCCGGGGGGAGCCGCGTCTCGCTCTCACCCCAGTCCCACCGGCACCGGCTGCTCCCTCTGCGGCTCTCCCAGTGCTTTGAAACCCAGCGGATGAAAGGCTGGGGATGCACTGGGAGCATCCCCCCTGCCCCCGGGACCCCTTCCCCTGGCGCTGCGCTCATCAGCATCCCCCGAGATGGAGGGGATGGGGGATGGATGGAGACCCTGAAGCGAGCGGCTCCCTCCCTGCCGGGGCTGTCATGGTGGGAGGGATGTGTTTGTGGCTCACACTGGGACACAGTGCCCATCACCGTGTCCATGGCCTGGCTTGGCAGTGGCGCTGCAAACCCAAAGCCCCCTCGGGGTCCTGTGGGGGGGCATCTCCCCCACCTTGGGCTTGGGATGCAGCAGTGAGCCAGAGCTGATGGAAATGCAGCTCCATGCCCTGGCTGGTGACCCCAGGGTGGCACATTGGGACTGCCCTTGCTCTCAGCTTGGTTTGGGCCCTCAGTGGGTGTCAGTGATGATGTGGGGACATCGGGAACCCCCCCAGCCACACACAACTGATGCATCTCAGCATCTCCTCCCAGCGGGATGCAGGGTCCAGCCTGAGGATCTTGGGATCTCCTTCCCAAGCACTGGAGCATCTCCTGGGCCACATCCTCTTCCAGCTGAGGAGGTTGCACAGCGCAGTGCCAGCACCAGGAGCATCTGCAGAGCCCATCAGGGGCTTTTTGGCTGTAAAGAGCCCCAGTGCTGGAGGCTGGGGGGGGGGACACGGAGAGAGCTGGGCTCTGCTGGCACCCAAACCCGCATCGCCCAGTGGGGTAAGGCAGCAGCTCGGGTTTTGCTCAGCACTTTGCAAGAGCAAAGGGGATGCTTTGCTCCAGCTGGGGCTGAGATGTGGGCGCAGATAAGGGCTGCCAGTCTGCAGCGTGACATTAAAGAGGTGCCAGGAAGAGGAGAGGAGGGAGGAGGGTTTCACACAAACACCGGGCCCCTTGCCCCTGCCCTGCGCCACCGCAGCGGCTCCCATCCAGGCTCCCACCACCACGAGTGGCAGCTGCTTTGGTCCCCAGGGAAAGCCCCTCTGGGCCAGGAGGATGCTCCATCGGCCCCATGCTGGCTCTGAGCCCTGCAGGGCGCAGGGGGATTGCACAAGGGAATCCCTCCTGCCCACAGCCCCAGAGAGGGATCCCTGCCTCCAGCCAGGAGTGTCCCTGGGGCCTCCAGCATCCCCGGGTCAGGGCAGGCAGCAGAGGAAGGGGGTCAGGAAATTGCTGAGCCTCTTGGCTCAGTGCGTGCGAGTGAAGGGGCTGGGGAGCTCCTGCCATCTCCCCCATGTATTTCCAAGCATCCTAAGCTGGGCTTGTGGGAAGCCATGGGAAAGGCTGCTCCAAAGTGGGGACACAAGAGGAGCCAACACCATTTACCCTCAGAGATGCCCATGGCTCCTGCCCTCCCTCCCCTCTTGCCCCTGAGTTCATCCAGCCCCACAGCATCCCTGCTCTGGCCGCCTCCATCCCTGCTCACTCCTGCCCCTCTCTCCTCAGGTTCTTGGGTGATGGAGAGCTTCGTGAAGCAGTTCCGGCTCGGCTCACCGGTGGCCTCCACACAGTTCCTCACCAAATACCACCAGGATTAGCTCTGCCCCATGTGCCCTTCCCCTGTGCAGCTGCATCCCCTTCCCTGCATCCCAGAGCCACATCTGGGACCCACCGAGGATGTGCCAGCCCTTCTCCCAGCCCAGATTGAGAGCAGAAACCCAGCCCTTCCACTTCCCAAACCTGGCAGAGCACCCTCATCCCCTCCAAAGGTAACTTCCCATCGGTGTCCTGGCTCCCTGGGTGTCCCGGGAAGGCTACATCCTCTTCTCCTCCCTTGCCTCATTTCCGGCCTGACCCCCAGCATGTCCCTCCTGCACCTTGGGGGTCTTACACCTTAATGCCTGCAGCTTCCAGAATAAACCACGAGTGGATGGAGTGCACGGGGCCGTGTGGGCACCCTTGTGGGCAGTGAGCACGGGGTGATGCTGGGCCAGGCTGGGAGAGCTGGGCTGCGTCAGCTGGGGAAGAGAAGGCTCCTGAAGGGGAGGCCTGAGAGCAGCTCCAGTGCCTGAAGGGGCTGCAGGCAAGCTGGCGAGGGGATGCAGGGGCAGGACAGGGCAATGCCTTTACCCTGCAGGGTAAAGGGGATGCAGGGGCAGGACAAGGGCAATGCCTTTACCCTGCTGGGTAAAGGGGATGCAGGGGCAGGACAAGGGCAATGCCTTTACCCTGCAGGGTAAAGGGGATGCAGGGGCAGGACAAGGGCAATGCCTTTACCCTGCTGGGTAAAGGGGATGCAGGGGCAGGACAAGGGCAATGCCTTTACCCTGCTGGGTAAAGGGGATGCAGGGGCAGGACAAGGGCAATGCCTTTACCCTGCTGGGTAAAGGGGATGCAGGGGCAGGACAAGGGCAATGCCTTTACCCTGCTGGGTAAAGGGGATGCAGGGGCAGGACAAGGGCAATGCCTTTACCCTGCTGGGGATGCGGGGCAGGGCCCGGTGCCCCCGGGGCTGTGGCCATGGAGCGCGGTGGTCACGCAGGGTGGCAGCGTGGGAACCGGGGCTGGCTCCAGTCCTGCCCTGCCCTGCCCGTGCCCTCTCCGGCTGCTGAACCCGCTCCTCTTGGAAAGCAGAACCGGAACTGAAGCCGTAAAGGGGAAGGGCTCTGCCCAGTGGCCACTTGGCTGGGCCTCCCCTTTAATTACCTCCTTAATGAGGCTTTCATCTGGCGCTGGGCTTTCTCCGGGGCTCGGGTTCACCTGCCTGCGGATCCTCCCCGCAGCGTGGCCTCGGCGGCTGCTTTTGTCCCGAGCCAGGAGCACTGGGAACCAACGACAGGGAGCAAGATCCGGGCCGGGGGTTACTGTGCACGCAGGGGAAACTGAGGCACGAGGGAATGACTTGCTCATGGCCATGCAGCATCGCTCAGAGGGGATGGCGATGCTCCTGCTGCTGCACTGGTCCATGGGTCCGTCCCAGTGCAAGAGGAAAAGCAGGTTTGTGCTGTCCCCTTCTCGCTCCCGCTCTGGTTCCTGGGCAGTGAGAGTGGCTTCACCGCCTTGCTGGGTAGGGGTTAAACGCGTCCGGGACTTTCCCTGCAGCAGGAAATGGCTGTTTACCGAATCACGCACATCAGCGGCTCCTGCAGAGCTCCATCGGCCTCACAGGGAAGGCTCAGGGCGATGGGGACGGCTGCAAGGTGTGAAGGAGGATGCAGGAGTCGCCGGGTCTAGGGCGCTGCAGGAGCCCAGCAGAAAAAGGAAGCTGGTGCCATCCCACAGCCCAGGGAAACAACACAGCCCCGGCTTGCCACGGCGCTAAGATTAGCAGCAGAGGAAATGACACCCAGAGATGTCATGGAAGATGCTAAAGCTGGATTGCTCCTTCTCCTTTGCTATACTTAACCCGCCATTGAGGGTGTAATTGGGCCGTTAGGGTAATGCGAGGGACCGGTGCAAATGAGAGGTCAGGCTTTGTTGACATCCTGCAGTCCAACTATAGTCATCCTGCCCTCAGCCCTGCGGCTGCTCTGTTTATTTTTGGTGGAAGGGGAGAGAAAAGGCAATCGGATGTTTATCCTTCTAGGAAATTAGCACCATCATTCCCGGGCTGCATTTGAGCTGCAGGAGGGAGAGGTTGGGCCTCACTGTGAGCCCAAAGTGAGCCTCTTCCCTGTGTGGCACTGATGGGAATGGGGATGGAGACAGGGATGGGCATGGAGAACAGGGATTGGAATGGAGATGGAGATGAGGATGGGAATGGGGATGGAGATGAGGATGGGGATGGGGGTGGGGGTGGGTTGGGAATGGGGATGAGAATGAAGATGAGGATGGGGAGAAGGATGGGAATGGAAGTGGGAAACAAGGGTGGGGATGAGGTTGAAGATGAGGATTGGGATGAGGATGAAGATGGGGAGAGTGATGGGAAAGGGGATGAGTACGGGGATAGGTATGAGATGGGGATCAAGCTGGAGATGGGGACAGGAACAGGGCTGAAGATGGAGCTGGGGACAGGGATGGGAACGGTCCAGAGCAGGAATCTGCCCAGTGCTTGCAGCAGATGCTGTGTTGGGACAAGCCCAATGATCCCCTGCCGGGATGCAGGACGAGGCACAAGGCCCAGGCACACTCAGGGCTGCAACCACACAGCACGGCAGCAGCAGCAGCCAGCCCGGAGCTCCGCACTCCCACTTGGACGCGTGCAAGGCTTCCACAGCATGGAAAATATTAATGGTGGGGTTTTAGTTCACTTTTTGCTAATTTAGAAAGACCGAAGAAAGCAAAAGCGGGAAGAAGCCACGTACGCTTTGTGCCGGTCCCACCCCCTTTATCTCTCCTTCCATTCGCTCACCATCGGTGCGAGAGAGAAAAGAGAAGCTGAGTCTCTCACTGCCTAAATGTAGAAAGTTTTGCTTCTAAATCAGTTTGTGATGGAAAGGAAACACGTCACGTCCCTGGGGAAGTGGCTGGTTTGCAGCAGCCACAAGCCCAGCGCCGAGTGCTGCAATGGAACAGCCAGCACTGAAATAGCTCCACGCTCTGTTATTGTCACCCAGAGGAGGTTTTTGCTCTGTCTCCGGGTGTCATTTTTAGCAGCCAGAGGAAGTTTTAGTTGTATTTGTTAGCTCCAATTTCCACTGGCGTGGCTGGGTCACCTTTTCATCCAAAGGTCCAGGAAGGGGCAAGGAGAAAACAAAGCAGGGTGAGCTCAGGTGTGATGGGTGCAACGTGGTACCCACAGCACCACTGGTACCCACAGCATCACTGGTACCCACAACACCACTGGTACCCACAGCATCACTGGCACACGCAAACCAACCTTCTGGATCCCGGGGGAACTGAGATGCCACAGGCCCAGCATGGGGTTTGGATGCTTCCAGCCCATTCCCAGAACAAAGCCACCCACTGGATGGGATGGCTGAGGAGGAGGAAGGCTTGGGGTTTAAAATACTAACAGTGAGAATCCAATGTTCCTGGTGAGCAGCGGCAGCTCCCAGCAGCACATGGGGGGTGTTTCTTTCCCAAACTGGGCTGGAGGCCAAGAGAAGCCCGCACTAAGCACGATCACTGAATAAAAAGGGTAATAATTATCTATTTTTAATAATTATTGAAGTAATTACTCGAATGAGATTGAGCCTCAGCCCCTGGCTCAAGGAGAGGCAGCCCCGGATCCCATGCATTGATGGAGAGCAGGAGTTGTCTCCCCTCCTGTGGGACCACCATGGGCAAACACAGAGTTGGGAGCAGGGGACATGAAGGAACAGGGACTGGGGGCCACCGCTTGCACCCCCCGGCCATGGTGGCACGTGGGGACAATGTGGGGACAGCCCAGCTCACCGGGAGCCAAGTGATGCCAAGCAGCAGCTCCCCCTCGCCCAGGGACTTGCACAAGAAGGGATTAGCAGGATCAGCTGATGATGATCTAAGCGCATAACTATATCAACCTGTGCATTAATTAATGATATCTCACACTCCATAATGGCTCTATCTGCAGATCTATGTGCTCCTCAAGCAGGCACTGAATTAAGCCTTGCTGCACCCCCCGGGAAATAGGTCAAGATTGTTAATCCCCATGTGCCGGTGGGGACGCGGTGGCTCCACGCTGGGATAAACAACGCTGCCCATTTTGGGTGCCAACGAAGGAGGTTTTCCAGGTGAGCTGAGGAGCATCCGCATCCCCACGGCACTGGGAAGGGGCCAGGCTCTCGAGGTCGGGCACGATCCAGGTGATGGACACCACTGGTGGGATGCTCCAACGCTCCCAGCCCTCTACCTTGCTCCATGGGCACACGAAGCCTCCAGCCCAGGGGTACCCCATGTGCCATGGGGCCGGGGTTGGTGGTGGGGGCCCATGGGTGCTGGTGCAGTGACCCAGCAGCCGGGCGGGCCCTGGGAGAGGCAGCCAGGGCTGTGGCAGGAATTTAGGGCTCCTGAAGTAATAGGGAGGGCGGGCGAGGCGAGGACAGGGCCATGTCCCCACCTCTGAGCACTGTGCCAGCACCCAAGGGGCCCGGCGAGCAGCAAGGGGCAGGTTGGGCTCAGCACGATGGCTTCATTAAGCAGCAATAGTAATTAATTCTTATGAGGCCTCCGAAGTGCTGCACAACTCAGAGGAGCTTTGTGGGGCTGCCTGAGGAGCCCAGCCCCACTCCCTCCCCCATCAGAGTGTGCTGGTTCGGGGGTCCCGGTCCCTCATCCTGCTCCTGGGACCGGCTCTTCCTGCAGCACCCGGGATGCAAATCCCAGCTGCCGGATCCTGGGACACGGCGCTCAAGGGATGCTCCACGGGGAGAAACTGCTGGGGTTTGGTTTCCTCTCTCGGGCTCGGTTTGGGCTGGGTTTGTCCCGGCCTCGCCCGCTCTGCCGGGAGCAGGAGCACGCTCAGATGTGGTTTGCCTGTAGAACACAAAGGAGGCTTTGGTGCTACGGTCCTGAGCCACCGGCTTCGCTCCTGCCCGGCACCAGCCGCCGGGCCCGGGCCGTGCCGCGGTGCCCGGTTTATCCCGGTTTATCCCCTTCTATCCCGGTGGAAGGGGGATGCCGCTTGGGGGTTGTATCCAGAGGTGCGGTGGAAGGGGCTGGGTGCCTCTTCCAGCCTCCCCTGCCCGCACCACGGGCTGAGGACGGTCTCAGCCACAGCCCCCAGCTTGTCCTCACTTGTCAGCGCTTCCCATCCCCTCCCCGCATCCCCGCAGGTCCTGGGCTAACCTCCCATTTCCTCATTGCAAGGAAATGGCTAATTCCCCCCGGGCTGGTTTCAATGGCTCTGCAGATCCTTCTCCCTTGGCCTCTCACCAGTTTCTCCTTCGGTGGTTACAGCGAAGCCCTGCAGCTCTGGGGAGCAGCGCTTTCCCAGGCTGCGCAGCCGTCGGGAGCACATCCCTCCATGGATGCCCTTTCTCCAGCACCACCCTTGGACGCAATGGGTTTGGTTGTGCCA